TGACAAGTGGCGCTAAAAGGGGTCATTGAGACATCATGTGCTCATGAGGTGTCTGATAAAAATAGAGTACGTTTGGCTGAATATATGTTCTTTTATTTTTTACCTTAGACGTTTGTTAAGTCTCGCGAACACGAAACATATTATATATTGGGTACCCTCGACCAAGAATGTTTATAGTTCTTTAAAGATTCCGTTTGTTTTTGTATAAAAGAGACAAACGGCCTGTCACCTAGCCGGGTGTGGTCCGTTCCTGAACAATAATGCACTCAAGTTAGGACCGAAGTTTGCTGAACAAGGTACGATTCTTATCCATCCTTGTTCCAAAGGTCCTTCAGCCTTTGATCTTCTTTTCGTCTTACTATGACAAAAACAGAGCACTGGATGCGAGTTCAAACGAATGATGAAGAATTTCTGGATGCGGTTCAAAAGCCATTACGGGCGATGTTTGTTAGCTTTCCTTCCAAGCGATTTTCTTTAGGTGTATTGGTAGTATTTCCATAGTGGCTCCGATTCATTGGTAACAATTCTGTCGAGTCAAAAAATATTTGCAGCCGTTGCAAAACAAACGATTGAATCTAGCTCGCAGAGTTGGCAGAGCCGAGTATAGCTATAATAGAGTTAAACTAAAATCTTGGCGTCTTTGATAGTTAAAACTAACTACCTAATAGAAATCTCGACTTCGCCTTCTACGTTCAGTTTCAGAGGACCATTCAATATTTCGGTTCTCCACCGTGACGACACTCTGGCGAAGATGACAAGTCAGTTGTTCAAAAGTGGGTAAAGCTATCCACCGAATAAATCACTACCCCAGGACTAATGATGCATCGTCAATCTTCTACTTTGCATTATCACTGTGAAGAAGCAAAATACGATTAGTTTTCAACAAATAACTTCATTGCACACGTGCACAACACAGTCTAATTGCCCTCTGTTCCTCTGTTTCTCAAAGCCCACTCTCCTGGATTTCTCTTATGTACTCCGGCGGTAATAGGTAATTAACCCTTAGCCGCAGACTGGATCATTTCAGGTCAAAATGGAACGATACAGATTACGGCATTTCTGAACCAACTTCGTTTTCAGTTAAGTTCGTAAGCAACGAATTAGGCAACGGATACTGGATCTTTCAAGGAACAGATACCTCATTTTGTGTGTGAGTTTTTTTAATAGTTTGCCCGGAAAACCATGACCGGCACCGCAATTAAAAGGGGTTTAAAACTGTTGTTTTCAATATATATTTTTGTCATCATTCACTGATTTTGCCTGTTTAGTATATTACTTTATATATCAACAAGAAACTAAAAGTATATGAGAGCCAACAAATCCACTTCCACCATTGGACATTCAGGAGCCTAATGGCACTAATATAAACTACGGTATGACCAAGAGAACCGGGAGAGAATTAAAAAACGGGTCGGTTTCACGTTCAAAATGTCAACCAACTGAGCAAAATAAATTTTCCTCGGAAGAATTCGATCATCTCTTTGAACAAAACCACTTCCCTTATTGCTTCAAAGAAATATAATCTTCTTCCTGAAATCCTTCAAACACGTCCCTGAATCTCAACGAAACTGAAGTGAGCTCGATTAAAACCGAATTGTAACTGTTTTCACCACGGTCGTGTATGAAATCCTAATTACATCTCCAAAAAACTTGCCACCTTGCACGACATTTGCAGTTCTCCTAGAACGTGATGAGGGGCCGGCGTGCCATAGAGTACGAGTTGGTGAGAAGCTAAGCCGGCCGGCTCACGGCACGTTCCACGTCTTTTGTCGTGCCAAAATTGGCTAGGAAGAGTGAATTTTATTTTTTTATCACAAAACCACTTCCCTTTATGGTGCAAAATATATACCCTTGAAACACGTCCACTCGGTCGGGGTCCCAAGTGAACTTAACCAACAGCACGCCTCTTGCAAATTGTATCTTGAATAAAAGCAATGAAATAAGCCAATTTTTGTAAAACAAAAAAATATTTGTGCAACATTGGTTCTGTTCAAGGTGAAATGGCCCCTTAAAATTAGAATCCAGTGATGATGAAATCTGAGTGAGTGTGACAACTTACATGAAAATTCCACTGACCGGGGCTGCAGTTAATCAGGAGTTCAAATTAACTTCTGATTGTGTGACTTGAAAGGGTTTTTCCCTCAGGTCTTCCTGTAGTTTAATTTCATTTTTTATTTCACGAGAATATTTTAGTACAATATCTATTCCAAATTAGCCTTTTTCGCCGGGTACTTAGGTATACTCAAGAACCTTTTGTTGTACTGGCCATGTATTGTTCTTTTGTCTAAATTAACCAACTGTATTGTTAGGTGCATGTTATTACGGCTTTCATTCAAATAAATGAAGTGAGGCACGTTTTCGTTCTGTCAATGAAGAGACTTTTTTATCTCCAAAGCCGGCCGATATTGCTAAGTCGTATTGAAAGTTGAGCTTTCTAATATCGCCCACAAAAGAAAATCACAGCTCAAGGGCGTGTGCGGTTGTTATTGTTACTTTTTCAAGATTTCACGAATTAACCAACCGTTTAGGTTGAAAGTAAACGCGTCTCTGTGGGTCACTAATACGACACAAATGTCAGCAAATTCTTTAAGGTCAGCCGCGAGCCTCGACGTTTCCCGATAAGGTACACAATTGTCTTAAAAAATGGTTGTCGCTTCTCGTTTTCAGTTGTCATATTTTTTTTTAACAAAGTCAAAATGGATTATGCTATACCTTTCGATATTATGATTGAGCAACGCCTCGGCTACGAATCGGGACTACCTTGTTCAACATCTTCCTTAAAATAACTGCCCAATTATAAACCAATATAGACATTTAGACAACTCAAAGAGAAAAGTAGAAGACTCATCAACTTAAAATGCTTATTTTAAGCGTCTGACAAAAGCAAGCTCGAGTGTCAAAACAGCAGTAGAAAAAAATTTTGCGAGAAAAAGATGGGATAGGTACTAACTAAAATTCTGTGCGTGACTGACATGTTTTGTCATAGGAATGATAAAAAAATTAAAGCCAAATAATGCAATAAAACATTTTCTTTTCGCTGATGCAAGAATCGCTCTGAGTTGCAAGAATGCTTTCAATCTGTATCCCGGATGTTCATTGTTTATTTATGCAAGATAAACAGCCGGTTCCGGACTGTTACTCATAGGTCACGAAATGACTTCAGGTATAACTTCACTCGCGTTTATTATTTTGCACGGTCTCTTGTGGAAGCTGTGGAGCAAACGCTGCAAAATTGTCACTTTTGTAGCATTTGTTTCCTCCGAAATATTGGTCAAAGAGCTCTTGAGAACGTGACCACTTAGACCGTACTGAAACTTTGCTTGTAGATTTTGAGGCCTTTTGGGCTTGGTATACTGAAGCGAGTATTGTTTCAAGATGATATGCAGACAGAGATAAGAGAAATAAAACGTTCAAAATCTCGGCGTTTTTTTTTATAATTGTTTTCCTGGTTCTGTTGAAAAACAATAAAAGTCCTTTGTTGTGCCAAACCGCAAGAACACACATTCACGACCTCAAGGTAAAAATAGTCGTTTGAAATTCGTTAAAACGTGCAATTAAAAAACAAAGTGAAAATGACTGCAATATGCGGTATTTTAAATATACATATATTTGTCGTAGATCGAAAGCAAAAAAATAAATTTACTAATTCTATGTGCGTTTTTTGTCGCGTTTGTCTCTTCACCTTTTACCAAAAAATCGAGGGGGTCTTTGTCTTAGCGCGCTTACATGACTGTTTGCACTGTTCAGCAGTTCGACCGTACAAATATGAAAAACCAATACATTTTTTTTGAAAGCAGATGGCAATTTTTTAGCTCGTAAACCAGCCTTTTGTTCCCCTTTAATATGAGCTTTTTTTATCGCGAAAATCATCATTTTGTGGAAGTTTTCGTGTCGAAAAACCGCTCAAATCAACCCTTGATCGTGTGAGCTATTAAGAGAGCTCGGATGGCATCAGCTATTATCCGTTTAGAAGAAAGCCACGATAAAGATTGGGATTAGTCATACTTCGTAGTCATAACAAGTTAAGAACAATCCTAATACAATGAAATTCGCTTTTTTTTTCTTTATACCTAGACTAGAATGACAACTGAACTTTAGGGAACTGTGGGTTCGCTTAAATCAAGCTAAGTTCAAACGAAAAACCGACAAAAGCTAGTTAAATTTGTTTTCATTTATAGCAGATAGTGTTATGAATCACGTAGAGATTAGAAGTTGCCACGTACCGAGATAATCATTGAGTAAGCATAAAATTTGCTTTCAGTTTCATGAAAGCATCAAGACATTTATCATTCACCTCGAGGAACTTGTTTTTACCGTCTTTTTAAATAGCCATTCCTTCCAGGAACCATAATTTCAAATAATTAGCTTTTACACTCAGCAGGGTCGGAAGGAACAATCGAGTTATGTTTTAAAAGCGTTTTTTTCGCTTTGATTGCTGTATGTCATTACAGCCGCCGGTCGAAGATGTTTACATCACGTGTGAAAAGCCGGCAAACAAAACAGCCTATATTGTTTTTGTTTTAGGCGGAAGTGACACACCTCCAAAAATAGCCAATCATTGAAGGGCAACTAAAGTTGTTTACTACGAAAACCGGCACAAAAAATTTCCGATATCATAAGTTTCCTCCGCAAAATACTTTGGTCTTTCGATATTTCCGTCCAAAATGGAACTATTTGTAATTGATGAGCCGTAAAGATGACCAAAAATTGCTGAAAAACAACGGGACATGACTAGCATATCAAATGAGGGGAGTAAAGGTTATTTAATATTTATTTCTGTCAAGGGTTGATTGATTGAACGACAGTCGTATTGTCTCGCACGTGCATTAACCAATCAAATTTAATGTCAAAGGTTGAAGGTTCGTCGGAGCCTGGCCGTGCATGGAAGCGAAAAATAAAAAACAAGGCTACAATTCAACTGAACGCTTAATTTCATACAAAAAATAGAATACAAATACAAACCTACAAGAAAACTGACCTTTTTTCGTAGTTCTCCTCTCGTGACGTGCTTTTGTCATGAATGGAAAAAGCCTTTAAGGTTGAAACTTCATTATGGCACGTGCATCCCGCTGAACAGTGGGGCATCTTTAACGCGAAACGCGCGCCTTAACCACAACTGCCCAGGCAAATTTCGCCGTATTTCCGCTCAAACAAGCTTCGCCGACTTTAAAATTTTAGTCAGATGGGTACAATGTTCAATCATTCCTTAGGTGGTGTGACTTTTCCTCGTGTGAATAATGGCACATGTTTATTGAATAATTACTCGAGTCATAAACCCACATGTAAATTTTTATTGGAGATACGTTAACTTTCAAATATTTTTGTCTTTATTAATTCCTTACCAGTTTCGATAGCATTCAATGATATATGCCAAAAAATTTATAATACTATCTTGGAGATGTTGTAACAAATACGCGTCCGAAAGCTTAGCTAGTCGCAAAGTACATTTACATTTCATATCAATAACATTTTCCGTCTGACAGACCTCTCAGCGATCATCGCTTCTGTACGAACGAAATATTCCTTTTTCGCAGATTCTCTTGTTGCAAGACTGCGATATATAAAAAATAGAACGATTTCATAAAATATTTAACCTATGTACAAGTCCTTGATTTTACTTTACGACTATAAATGTTTATATTCGGTGTTTAATACGAACATGCTATCATGGATATAAATATAATATTTGCTAGGTGAGTGAACGAGATATTGCTAATTTCGTTCGCCGGTCGAACAGTTCAATCTGCAAATCGCACGCAAGCTTTTTTCCAACGGCACTGCGTGCACCAAAGGTGCCTGTTTTCCATCCCGTAAACTTTACGACACTTCTTGCTTTCGCCTCGGACTTTTCGAACAACGTGGTGACTGGCATGTGTTTGGATTCTTGCGGGAGGGCTAGTTTTCCCGCTCACTTTCGAAGCCGGCGGCGTGGGCGGGAGCCGGCTGAGCGCTTGAACATCCCAGTTGAATCGTGGGTGCTGAAGAGAGCCGTAAGTTGGAGAAGTGATTACACCAGGCTCCGACCAGGGACTTTTCACCATGTCGAAATGCGACTGCGTCGGGGTTGGAGAAAGAGCGAGCGGAGCTGGAAAAACATCGTCGTCTTCGTCTAAGTCGATTTCATTAAAATAGAAGTCTTCCTCTCCATCACTGTACCCATCTTCGACTGAACTTTTGGGCCTGCAACGCAAAAAAGGAACAAATTCATCATGGCTGTTTCACTTTTTCGATCAAGTAGTTACGAGGTCAGCCCCGGGAAACTTGAGCATCAGCGCAAATACACTTCACTTCCTACACTCTCACTTACATCCCTTCTCGCTTAAAACAAAACTCGAAATATAGCCAACTAATAAACCTTTTCACAACGTTCAAAACCTTGAAAGAAAATTATAAGACTTCATCGTTTGAAAAAGTCGGTCGCGCCATAAGTCATGGGATATAAAAAGCATAAAATGCTTGTAGTTGCAAATATTAGCGGCGATCGCTCAAAAAGCGACCAAAAATAACAAACACACTTGGAGACTCTAACTAAAAGATCCAACGGTGCAACCGAAAGAGAAGCGACGGTAAAACTCTAAGCACCTAAAAACGTGCACTTACCCGAGATGAATTGTTCTGACATGACGAATTATTCCAGGAGCCGTTGAGAGGGTTTTCCCACAGCCGGGCCATGTACATTTGTACAAAGTCTTGAGATTTGGGTTCGATGAGGTAGAATTCTGAAAACACATAAATTAAGACATGATTACCTCATTGTATGGCTACTAACAGTGTATAGGCTTCTTAAGGACGAAGAAACTAAAATCTCGGAGAGAAAGTAACTCAACCGGTAACCGGAACAAACCGCAAACAAACAGCAAAGCACGAGAGATGTCGTGAGAGGACTTTATTTAAAGGTGTGAAGTTGTTAAGAGAACAAAAAACAGATCAACCCTCTCCCAGACATTTTCACAGCTGCAAAACCAAGTAAGGTAGGTTTAGGGTGTTGGTTTATTATCCTCGACCGAATACTATACAGGTAAAAGAGTGAGAAGCCAGAGGTCATCGGAGTAAACAACATTACCCCCAACTTGATTTGTACGGTATTATGTCGAGTTTCACAAAACGAACGCTTACCTTTCTCTTTCGTGTATTCTCTAGTCGCTGAAATTCAAATCCGATTCCTTCGTCGACTGGCGAAGGAGGTCCGTCGAAGAAATCGTGCGAATGAGATGGAGAGCTCGAACGTGCCGGTGAGTTTGCAGGGCTGGGGAAGTGTGCCATATCAGACCCTGAGTCTGGTGTTAAAGGAAATCCAAAATTTGCCTCCGCCGCTGAAAAAAAAAAAAAAAATTCTGTTAAAATCATAAATTAAATGCGAACGGCAGCAAAAATTAGTGCTATCACAGCATAATTTCTAGACGGAAGGGCGAAGTTCGTAAAACACCTCAAAGTGTTATGGCAAATAAATTGTAAATAAGAACGTGCGGATTTAAGCTAGGACAAGCAAAACTACAATGAAAAGAATAAATTTCTGAACAAAGAACCTACTTTGATCCATATCCTTGAAAACCGGGGATATCGATAGAGCTGTAAGAACTAGAGCTGCCATTTCTTCGCTCCTCGTTACATTTTCTTGTCTCTTTGTGCAACCCCTGAAAAAAAGTAGCTTTGGAATTCAGTGCACGCATGTCTCTGTGCCACAAAACTAAAAAGCTGAACAAAAGAATATAAATGCAGGGGTCTAAGGGTCTTAAAATACGAAATAAGACTCTTTCCTATTAACTGCAAAGCTTCAACAAAGACGAGAAAACAGTAGATGAAAGAAGACACAGATTAGTTAGAGTTTGTATGTGCTCATTCTAACGCAAAACTCACTTGCATGAATCTATTCCATGTGCTTTCATTTTGCATGGCACGGGGCATGATATATTCGAACTGGAATTATCCAGAGTTCTAATCCTATGAATTGATTCAGAAAACTGCTCCCCTTTCATGAGATGCATTTCTTCTGGTCTTACGGCCACGACCGTATCTGGCCGGTCCAGGATTTGAACCAAGACTTCGTTGAATTCTAAGCGGGTCTTCACGACACGCGCTTCAACCTCGCGGCCTTTGAACGAGATAAAAACTCGCTGTCCGTCCTTTACCGCTCTAACACCGACACGATTAAATCCTGGCCCAACAATTTCTCCTTCATCTACCTCGGCTATATAGTCGTCCTCAAATAAAATAGTATAAGTGTGTTCGCCGGTTGGCTTGCTCTTCACTGCTTCAATAACACCACTGTAGAAGTAGCCATCCTTCCACGGTGCACACACATGAACACCAAGTAGCGAATTTTTAGGCCGTCTTCTGAGTGAAAGCATTCTTTCTTCATCAAATAGTGGAAAAACTCGTCAATATTTCTCAGAAATTTAATATTTTCTCCCTTTGCAACGGAACCGGTAAAATCTTCTCGTACGAAACTGGCCTATCGTTTTGTTGTTGTTTTTACGGTAGATTTTGGGGGCGTCAACCAACCCCTGTGGTGATTAGCTTTTATCGCGAACTCTGATTGGTTTACTTCGTCGCTTAAATACTACGGCCATTTCTATTGGTCCAACCCCCTTTTGATATGACGTCTGATTGGCTAATATTATATGCTATTTTTAAACCCATTGAGCAGCTTTGTTGACATTTTGAGCTTGCGACGTGTCGACATCACGTACGCACTTCTTTTATTGAAAAACATGGTTATTTCTTTTGTTTCGGTTTGAAGAAGGTAAAGCTATTGTCATCGCGTGGTATCTTATTCCGGCAGATCCGGAAAAGCTACTCTTATTTGAAATGTTTTCGTTTAAGGAAGTCTTGCTTTTGAAATTCGAGCCGAATCCATGTGACAAACGTTACGGTAGAAAGTTTCGCCAAAACAAATACCGGGGAGTGATTGGATGTATTTGGAGGAGTGACATGGGAGGTGTCTAAAGTGATTGTTAAACAAGAGTTATCATTGGTCGACGAAACAAACATATCGCAAATTTGCCGACCTTACGGCGCCGCTACAATTAAACTTACAAACAAGGCAGATTTTTCTTTTTAGAACTCTGCAGTTTCGTTTTACGGGTAGGTAGTTGTTTATTGTTTACATATTTTCAAGATACACGGATTCTCGTTTGGTATGCACATTATTTAATGATAAAGAAAAAAATACATATTTTTAAACGCCTCTCGAATTACGAAAAATTAAATATTCACAAACATATCGTGAAAGAAGAAAGTAAATAAAGAAAGAGATCGACGAGACTGCCTATATCGCACATCTGCCAAAATATCGATCATGTGCTACTTGGGCCCTTCAAATGCAAAACGGCAATCGACAACTTCAATAATTTGATTTTTCTCATGAATTGCGCTGAAATGAAGTTCAAAACAATCTACAGATCTTGGACCTTTGCCCTGTTTATCTATCAGACTACCGTAAAAGTAATCAACTCTGTTCTACGAGATCGTGCCGGCCGGCGTAAATCCCGCGTAACGTGACTCTCTAACTGAGGCACGAGGCTGGTATTTATCTGCCCCCATGGTGAGAGTTTGGACACAAGACGGACACCGGTTACACACTCAAAAGAAAAAAATAATAATAGAAGAAGAACGAAAGACAGAAAGAGAAGGGAAAAATATATTATAACATCAGACTGAAACCGCATACATAAGGAAATGAGCCAGCCTGAACAGAGAAATGGAAACTTGGATGCGAGCACGCTTAGTGAAACTTGGCACCTAAAATAAGGCTACTTTGCAACATATCTAGCTGGATTTTGAATGGACAATAGTTGAAGAAGCTTTATCTGTGACCTCTTATTGTGGGTAGAGTTCAAAAACATATCTAATAACCAAGTCACGTAGCCGAAACATTAAGAAATGCTATCTTTTAATTCAACAATAATGTTTACAAATTTCTAAGAAGATAATGCAAATTTATCCAGCAGCGAGTGTTATGAAGTGACAAACACACTCGCAACGCAACGAAAAATAATTTAAAGTTTTTGACCCCACCTTTGCGGAACAAATGAGATTATTATTGAATAAATTCCATTGACGAAAAACGTGTACTTGTTTCGTTACGATATTTGCTCAACGTATTATACGGAATCGATAAAAATTTCTGCGAACCTGCTGTCAGTTACTTGTCTCGATCTGTCACGCGAACTTTTCTATTTACATTTCACACCACTAGAAACCTTTAAGCGCTTTTGATCATTAAAGCAAGCTGTTTTCGCCATGACTGTGAAACAAAGCGATAATAGGCAAGAGTTCAACTGAAATTTTAAGAAACGTCAATGCAATGTCCCTTTAATAAGAGCGATCACACTTCTCGATCTGGTGCGCGAACTTGGCGCGTGTCCAACAATCTTGCTCGGATACGTAACAAATATCCGTCTTGCTATTTTAAAAAATGATCGCTCTTGTTATTTATCTTTATTATTATTTTTACTTTATTAAAAAAGGGTTTGTTCCCTTTATCGCGTCCTTCGCAAGAGCTCAACAGGAATCCGCAACAACCGAGAAAAAAAGTGGGTGTTCTAGTATTATTGTCATATTATCTCAGTGCTCGGGAGTCTATCGATTGCCTGCAATTTCGCCATTATATGCAATCTTTGTTCTATTGTGTACGCTGCAGATCATCCTAACGAGCTATAATTATCTCTAATTCCTACTTTGAAACAAGAACTAAACGAGACATTCGAGTTTACACGTTTATTAACTCGATGGGGGCTGTGGGCAGGGAGTGAAGGGGGCGCTGTCAAAACAAGTTTTGTATTTTTTAGGAGTCACGTGCCAACGTGTTAGTCATGCATCGCATGTCTCGTGCATGAAGTGCATAATTTCTTTCTTTCACTGCTCAACTCTGTTATGGAGTATGCTTCAATAAAGGGATTCTCAACAAAGATTAGAGGGGTCTGATATACCGTTTGTGGCATTTTCCAGTCCCTCTAGTCTCCATTTATATATGGATAAGAGGCACCCCGGCTATGGTCTCTCTCTCGCTGTCACTCAAAACCAAGATATAGTTCAAGTACTGTAGACAGTGTTTGCGATGCAGAGTATCTCTCACCAAACAGGGGATACAATTTCATTCAAGCTTCTCCTAAACAATGTCTCATTTTTTTCGTAAAGAAACTCAAGAGCATGTATTTTGCTCATTCGGTCATTGTTTGCAAAAAGATTCTAAGAGAGAAATCCAAATTCAAATCATCAGCAACACCATGTATGTGAAGCCCTCAGTCGAAGTAGCGACTGGCTACCAGGTTCACGTCTGTTTATAAAATTCTTTATTTTGCCAAACACTGTCCACAAACCCAAGCTTTTTTTATAAGAGATGCTTCATAGGTAGCGAGTTAGGCACAGATTGATTCTTGCAAATAAATCGGATAATCTTTCAAAACACTGCCAGTAACTCAGAGCCGATGAGAGGATCTTATGTACTAAGAGAGCTCATCCGTTGCATAGCGGAAAAACTGGAAGATTTTCTTTCAGCATGTAGTTGTTTGCGGAGATATAGGGACACTGCTATGGCTGCTAACGGCTGGCTATCTGAGAGCCTGAAACAGGCTGACGTTTGGCCATTGTCTATGATAATTCTTGTTTGGCTTGTTATGGCACGTTGCTTTATTTTTTCCGGATAAATCAATTATCAAAGGAAACCATGGGCTCGTGAGGAAAAATAGTTTCTGGTTATGACAGAAAGAGCTGTCCTAAAAAATAAATGAAATCTAAATAAACAAGGGCTGGATTTTTTAAGCAAAAAAAGTCCTGGGGGCATTTATGTAGAGGTTAAACTGCGTGCCGTTCATTCAGTGCTTCGTAATCTAATCCGACGGCAACAATGCTCTCGCCATAGTAAGTTGCTTCAAACAAAACATGTGTAAGCTATTAAACAATTTTAGTATGAAATTGTCGATGTCTCGTAAACGTATAGGATCCACATTATCATGGCATTCGAGATCCTGAACGCATGGCACAACCATATGGGGCGGGTTCAGAGACCTTGAGGGACCTTGAGAGTTGAGGGAGTCTCCTCCCCTCCCCCGCCCCCTTTCCTTCCTCCCCCCCTCCCCCGCCCCCTCCTCAGCTTTCCCTATTAAGGTATGTATCCTTATTGTTGTTGTTTTGATTTTCAAATGTTTAAGGCAGGTCCTCTTGGCCGTTGTTTTGGAGTTTCTTGGATCCGCCCCTGCCTTCCTGTTTACTCCTGTTGTCGATAATAACCGACTGTACATTTTGTACTGATAGTCCTGATGATGGCAGAGAAATGCAACAAAGTGTACATCGCAAGCACATGACTAAAGCATTGTTTTTCTTATTTTCATTCCATTCTCGAACTCACGCCGATTCCATCCACCATGCAATGTTAGTTAGGCTATGCCCGGTCATCAAGTTCCTCTTGGATCTTATCCTATTTGCTTTAAAATCTCAAGGAGAGTATTGCATGCTATTGCAAATAAGGCAAGTCAATTTGGGTTCCCACAGCGGGTATAGAGATTCGTGTTATTGCGAAAGATCCTAGTAACTTAAGGCGACCATTATTTTTTAGTAAGGGTGAATGAATGGAATAGTATCCTCTGGCTTCTCTAGTTGTTAGCTTACTATTCCATACCCCCAATTTACGAGGACTCTTTTTTTCCCAAGTTAAATTAAAGTCGCTGTTTAGTTTTAGTTGCAGCTGCTTCAAAAGGGTAAACCGACCTCTAAAGAACGATGGAAGGAAGACAGGAGAGGAAGGAAGCATGCAATGCAATACAGGGCTGTATCGTTACTAAAACAATGCTGTTATGGCTATTGCGTAAGAAAAATGTATCTTCACACTATATTAAAAGTGGGCAGCAAAATGTATCACGCAAACTTGCCGTCAAGAAAGAAAATTCATGCACACGCATCACCTTTAAAAAAAGGCGATTGCGACCTCAGATCAATAGCCAAACAGTTCTTCTTCGATGATACTAAATCACAATTTAGTATCTTCAAGAAAACATCTGCAACTTTTTTTCTCTGCTACGAGAAAAAAAAGTCTAGTCGAACCCGCATTTCCTGGCATTCTTATATCGTTCGAAAGTGGATAAACAAGCACTATACTGAGCTTGGCGACCGTTAACCCTACAAAAAAAATATGGTGAACTATATCCATTTCCCACGATCTTGTTTTCGTTCCGTGGCAGTGGATCAGTTACTAAAATAATATGTCAACACAAACAAGCAAGACACCTGCGGAAAACACGCTTAATTTCTAAGCCCCTTACTCGGGTCATGGCTGATCACCTTAAAATATTTCAACCGCGCGAAACTGCCCAGTTAAAACACAGTCAGACAAAGCCGTTTCTTTATTTTTTTTTTTTTCTCCTTAAAAGAACCTGCACAAAGCGTACTTGCTTGTTGCTGTTACCCACGACTCTAGAGCATTTGAGGAGAAAGAGAAAAATCTCTTGACGTTCACTTAACGATCTGCATCGTAAACAGCCCTTTCTGTGACCTTTATAATACCCTCAGGAAGAAATCTTAATAAGTTCAGACATGGTCGTTCAGACAGCAAGCGTGAAAAACTGTTTAATCCGAAATATTGATTTTCAGACTATTTTGATCAAGGGCGGCTCACGTTAGATCAGGCAGCGTCTTCGCAAATTCGCTGCCTTTTGTAATTAAAGAGCGTAAGAATGTTAACTCCAAAAGAAAGGCGAGAATACCGACTGTGAAAAGTTTATACCAAACGCACCAGTCATTTGAAACCATCGGACCCCCTTCGGGTATGACCGGGGCATTCCCAATTTATGGAAGTGAAAGCAAATGAGTAGTCGAATCCTTGTACCATAGTGAATGGTGAGCTCCCCTGCACCCGTATGTTCGACACACTGTACTCCCGGCCCTGATCGCTTGCCTTTTACATGGGCAAACCAGTCGGTCCACGGTTTGGGCAAATGGTACGCAAAATTCAGGACTGGTTAATTTCGTCCCGGAATCGTGTTTACTATTTGTACAAATCAGTTTCATTTTCCGAAAAACGACCACGAAGGCGTGAAGATGGTGTCAAAGATGACTTTGAAAAAATGGAACACGAATTTCCTTTTGGAATATTTCGTCCGGAAAAATAGGACTACCTTTTCCGATGTTCCGTCGCTCTCGGAAATTTGCCCCTGAAACGACCCGACCCAAAAAGTCGTGTTCCATTTAACCAACCGGATTTTCCGGAAACTTTTTGTAAATGGTAAACAACTCCTTTTTCAAAATGTCATCTTGACTCTTGTCAGTTTTGTTATCGCCGAGCGTAACAAGGGATCAAGACAAATATCATGATAGCCGTGAACGAACACACTGATTTCGGAGCAGGCCAACTCTCGATGGACATGGAAAATAACGACTATTTGATGGCCCCATTTTAGGCCTTCTGCACACGTAAGGTAATCCAAGACAATCTTGTTCTGGATTCCAGACTGTGGATTCCGGATTCCAGTCACTAGCGGGATTCGGGATCCCTTGAGCTGAATTACGGATTCCAATCACTAGCGGGATTTGGGATCCTTGAGCTTAATTCCGGATTCCAAAGCTCAGGATTTAGAATTCCACGAGCAAAAATTCCAGATTTCGTAATCCAGATTCCCTATAATACACGGGAGAGACAATAAATAATCGTCTTAACAGCAACTAACATCTCATGCTTTAGCCGAATACAGTCTTTAGGAGTTTTTTTAAAAAGCGCGATCATTGCTATTGGTCGGCTACTTTATTTCTCGATACAACTATGCAAGCTATTTTAAAGACAATGAAACACAACAGACAACTACAATGGTACATTAAGTCTTAAGACCAAAAATAAAATTGTCGTAGGAAAGATACAGAAACCTCTGTTACCTTCCAAAGAGAAATAATGGTTGTCTTAAGAGTTCTGTTAGCCACGAGCAGCGAATGCAACGTAGAATTGGTTTAGTAATTCCAATAGATTACTTTTACTTTATACTGATCCAGCGATTTTACACCTCTAAGCTGCCGAATACCAGGGAAAAAAGGCCTCTGCTAACGGGGAGGCTCTAGAATGACTACTGCCCCGCATATACCCTGGTCCGGGAAGCGGAGACCGTAGTCTCCGCCTATGGAGTGAATACGGACTGAAAGGCCCCGTATTACACTGAATTTCAAACTGCTGGTGCATTAATTTCAATTGTTTGCACTCCACGAGCCAAATCACTGCAACCAGGCCGCAGTAATTCACTAAACTGGTCACTATAGTTATGAGGGGCTATGCATGTTACGTTCTCTTTAAAGTTATTGCAGGGGAACTGGAAGATAACAAAAGCGAGTTTGACAGGAGAAATAAAAACATAAGGTGTGTCTAGTTTGTTTTGGTGAAGGCTAAAATATTGGATGCTAAATGTGGAACACTTAAAGTCAGGTTCACTAATTGAATAATGTACAATATATAGTAATATCAATAACAGATAAGTAACAAGAACGTGACATGCAGAGTTGCCCAACCGGTAAATGATACCATATATTAATATTTTTCTTTGGATTTCTCTATAAATAAACCGGGCCTGTTTATTCAAAAACAGAGGAACACTTTCATATCGCCGAGAAAAGGAATGTTTGAAAATCCAGCAGTCTGTGATTGATAAACTTTGACACACCACTGAACTACATCAAATTTCGACGTTTTATAGAACCCGAAGCTCTCAGTTTGGAAGTCAGTGATTGAAAGTAAAAGAAGAATTTCTGGACCAAGAACGGGTAACGTCGATTGTAAACCGTGCGCCAAGAGTTGGTAACCAGCAATTACTTTTGACTTTGCTAAAACAGTTTGCATTCATCGATCGATTGGTCGTGCTTAACGGTTTATTAACCTGGTCACGTGATCCTCGAAAGAGATTCGAAAACGTTAGGCGAACATTACTCATCTGCACGTTCGGTTTTCGTTCGAGTATTAAAAGTGACCCAAGTCATTGACTAGATTTCCCTGTCATTCCATTCAAAACTTGCAAAGTGAGCAAAGCTATGTTTACTTCAACATAAAAGAAAGTCAATTCGGATTTCTCCCATAATTTTCAGATTGCAGTCGAGCTGTTTTTGTTTTTTTTTGGTACAGTAATTTGCAACGAAAACCGACCATTTTATCCATCCTTAATATAGGTACGCCGCTGTTTTTGCAGCTATAAAAACGGAAATTAAAAGTAAATGAAGACCTACAGCGTACGTGATGCCACGCAATGGATACGGTTGACTCTTCAATATAAAAGTGCAATATAGCTAGGAAAACAACATTGGAAACGATGAAGACAGCATCAAAGACAGGCCCAATATTGCGAGAATTTTTATCTGAACAATTTTATCAGACAAGATAAAACTTATCATCAGATTACGAACGGTTGGGTTAATCGCGAGAACTGATAATTTTATAATATTTAGTCTTGAAAGACTCTCAATATGTCCTTCCGGCTATTATAAAAATCAAAAAGTCAGTGGGGTGAGGGTGGCGCAGGTTCGCACTTGGCTCATATTTCGGCTTTGCAGTTCGACTTTTTGGAACTGTTTTAGCCTAGCCTTTGTCATATTCTGCGAGGTTCACTAACTCCCACAAAAGCCTCAATACCCTTTCGGTACATGTATCTCGCACTGAGAAGACGCAGGTAGCTGGAAGAAATACGGCTAAGAGAAGTACTTTGGACCAAACGGGTCGCACAAACCATAAATAAGGCGTGTTTTCCATGTCCACTTTCTTTGGCCTTGCAACGCTCTTTGATTGGTCAGAAAATCTCACGCTACTTTTTGAACCAATCAGGAGTAAACTCAAGACTTTCCAGCATGCGTTTTCCCGCGATTCAGGCAGGATAGGCCTACCATAATACTCTTTAATATATAATTAGCTTTAGCAATATTTGAAACACTCGGAGATGCAAATTCTTCAAACAGAGCAGTTGTCTAACCAAATGAACTCTCTACACAAAGTTGCTCTGAAACAGTAAGTGTAGCCACTGAAAAGAACTGACCAGCCAGATTTCAAAGCACATGTAGGCAGCTGTCTGTTCAAGCGCGGGAAAACAAGCTTGCAAGTCATGATAAATAAGAGTTTCAGGAGGTTTAAACCTCATTGTCTGGGAAAGTGGCGCAGTATTTTTACAGCTAATCACAAAGCAGCTGACTCGTCCCCAGTCGTCTCTCTTGACCCCTCGCGCTTCTCTCCTTTCTCAAGAGAGACGACTGGGGACGAGTCAGACAAAGCAGAGCAGTGCATTTAAGGAAACCGTTCTATTTCACCCCAATAATTGAATGGACACCAACATCAGCTATCAAAAACAACATAAGTTCTCCTCTCATTCTTTTAATAACAGTCGTTGAATTTCCTGGTACATAAAAATATCCCTATTTTACGATTCACTCAGTCGGTATAGCTGTTTTCCAGACAATATGAATTATATATCGTTTCAAGAAATTATGTGCAAGTCACTATAATTTCCTGGTACATAAATAAGTTTTCATACGTAACACTGCCTTTCGACTTCCTTATTATATATTACTGCTCGTGTTGTTAATAAGTTTGCAAGAAAAATGCTGTTGTCTTTAAATATAAAAAAGGATGGTGGTGGCCATATATTAAGATAATAATAATCATCGTCAACATTGTTAACATTTATTCAAAATATTTCGCCGTTTCTGATCGCCTAAAATCCGCCGGTTCATCTTTGTTTAAAGCTTACGCTGTTTTACGTCATTCGGGCAATAAATGAGAATTTTTGAACGAATGACGTCACGAAACAAAAGGGGTGGCTGAGGCGCACAAAAATGGCTGGAAATTTCAACTGTTTGGAGAAGACAAAAAAAAAGCGGAATTAAAACGTACGCAAAAGATAAAACCAATGAAAGATGTAATGAAAGATGTCAACTGCTTTGTGAAGAATATTTTATATCCCTAAAAGTGCCAAAGAAGTGGTGATTGTTTTGACGAAAGATTAGGTAGAAGTAGGGATGTGATCAACTTGGAAATATTTTGAATGATGGAAATAATTGGATTTTCGTATAATGAGGAATTATACTGATCTTGAAGGGTTTTGTTTTATCTGTCTTCGCCGATTACACTCTCCTCCTTTTTCGTAATTCCTCAAGTCATACAAGTCAAGTCAATGGCAAATTCACACACAACTTACACGTTACTGTATTACAATGTAACTTTCTTCGATAACGCAATCTCTTTTGTCACGCAATATATCCTCAAATACGTGACAGGACAAGAAAAATTTAAAAAACGCCACACACTGGAACATTCAGTAATACTAAACTACAATTCCTGAGCTCAGTCAAAATAACCTAACTCTTAAAGGAGCTGTGTCACGAAATTCAGCCAAATTAAGAAATTACAAAATGCCTGTTAAATTAAGAGAAACATAAAAATAACCGCTTAAAACTTTAAAGGAAGGTTAAAATAACATAGCAGAAACAACAGATGCCACGGATGGGCAAAACCGAAGAAGATTGAAGCGGATTGAAATTGGGGTTTTTGAAAACTGTTCAGCCTAACAGTTTTTCAAAGTTGATGCCTTCTGCTTGCAACTTCAAAAATAATGCTCAGGAGACATATTTGTTTGCCTCGGATCTCTGATTTTGTCATTAAAATGCAATTTCTTTTCTTACTTTTTAAAGCTCCATAGCGACTGAGGGCGAGTAATTAGCAAAATTAAGCAAAATGAACTGGACTGCCGTGACACAGCCCCTTTAACTAGTCATCGCATCGAGTAACGTTTATAAAAGCCTTTAAAAGGGGACGTGACCTAAAGAGTCTCACACTTGCAAGTGTTGCGTGATGTAACGGGTTAAGCAGATCACAAACGTATCATGGCCAACTGAAAACACTTTGAAAATACAAATTGTGCGCGGCAAAAATCACTTTTTAAAAGATTATCATAGCTATTACTTAATATTTACATACACTGTACAAACAAATCTCTTCCTTTGAAAAAAGGCGTTATATGAGGCGTTATTCTGTTTGAATCACACAATATTATAAACGCAATGAAAACGCCAACTGTGTAATAGTAAGGATTAGAAGTAAAAATTATATTCATTTAATAAATTTCAAAATTTACCTAAATTTATCGGTGAAATCTTATAATAATCTATAAATAGTGGTATTCCTTTTCTGTTACGCTTCACTCAAATCTGCAACAGAAAGATTAAACTTGTTAATCTTCTTGTAATGATTTATTTTGAGAGGTTATATTAGGTTTGACCCTACATAAAGAAACCTATCCAGGCATGAAAGCTTTTGTTATTGAGGTATTTGCAAATAAAAACTTTTGTGAAACCCTGGCTTCACTAAAACACGAAATAGAGTGTGTATCAAGAAATCAAAACATCACTTTTTACATCATCAAACACTAGAGGTAGTGTTTCATGACCATATTAAACATTTCAAAGTAGTAAAAATACTCTGCTTTGCGTGTGTTTTTTCATCTCCTTTGTCGATGTTTGAAATGTCACAGCCTGTGGAGAGGCTCTCTGTTTGGGGAAAAAAACAGCGAGGAAAGGGAAGGGAAATGAAGCTGGGGTGGCTTTTTCCTTCTCCCCAGTTCCACACTCGACCAAAGGCCTGTTCACAGGCTAGAAATGTCACGAAACACCGTCTTGTGTTGGATATTTAAAGCAGTCCGTTGATGCCAACAACGCCGAGAGGGTTTCTGGAAGTTGTTGTCTTTAAAAACACTATCCTTCAAATGGGCTGTTAACCATATAAGTCCCAAGAGAGACCAACATTACTTTTCTCCTAAATATCAGTTCGTTGACAAAGGAACAGTTGTGAGAATTGACAAAGTCATCGCCTAAAGCAAAAGGGCTTTGATCTATAACCAAATTCACCCAACTAATTCTTTAAGGAAATACATGAAGTTGAGTGTAAAGAATTTGTATGTGGATATCAGGGCTTAAAGGAATAATGTGTAGTGCCAGAAAATATCCATACCCCCATGGAGAGCAATTTTGCTTCAGACCCCTACCCCCTGGAATTTCCATTCTAGGAGGTTGCCTCCTTTTTGACCCCCCTCCCCTCAGAATTTCCGTTGCTCCTCATGGGGGTATGGATATTTTCTGGAACTACACAATGATGATAATCTATGAGAAACATACCAACTCTCAGAATAATTAATATCGCACTCCCCTCGCCCCAAACCTCCAACACCAGCTGCAGTGTTCTAAAACTACTTTCGCATTTGTTTACCTTCAATAATCACTGTTTGGAAGATGTCCCCTCATTTTTGTCATCACCAACGTCGTCAAGATCGTCGACCGTTATATCTGGCAGGGGCGCTCTCCAGTAGGTAAAGGAACTAAACTGATCGGGAGCTATGAGCCCCGAGGGTGGATGACCCTTTGTCTTGAATGGCGGAAACATTTGATCCACCAAGTCACTAAGTTTTATGTAACTGAGGAGTAACAAAATGTAAAAATAAAAGTCAAATAAAAAGTTTCTCACAGACAGAAAAGAAACAACATTAATTTGCTACTGCTTTTTTACCGAACCAAGTCGTTTTGAATTTTGACTAAGTGGATAAAATCATTAAGTGTGGTCATGCACATTAAAGCTACTGGGAAGTACTTCATAGGGTACTGTTTATTCTGCGGTACAAGGTGGAGTCTGTGGATGAAATCCTATGATATTATGAACATTATACTACTACATGAGAATTTTGTGCCATTTGATTGGCTTAGAGCAGTGGTATTTCAACTTAATTTGAAATACCTACATGTGAAAATTACAAACCTTTTGAGGGTAGTAGTATAAACAAATAATAGCATGATTTGTACGTGATATTTGGTATAAATACCACTCATGATATTTCAAAATTGTCTCAAATTTCACTCGCCCGACGGCTCGTGAAATCACGTATAACAATTTCGAAATATCACTCGTGGTATTTATGCCAAATATCACTACAAATCATGCTATTACCTATACTAAAACTGAAAGCTTTTAAGCAGTTCTTTGGCATCAATACTGTAAACTGTGATGTACCACGTGTTTTTAAAGTTAGAGGATGTGGATAAACAAAAGCTACTGAGCATTACATTTCTGTCATGGTGTTTATCAAGCTGTACAAGGCGCTTCGAACTTTTGAGACTTCTGAGTCTACTATACTTACGACGTCTGGAAGGCATTTGTCAAGTCATGTCTCACTTCTCCCTGGAACATAAGTAAAATTAAACTGAACTTTAAGGGATTCTTTACCGCGGACTAAATCTTATGCTACGACCATTCAGATGAAACCTTTTTAGCAGGTCTTTCACACGGTACTATTTATTTAGTATGTGGTTCTAACTTTTGAGTCTGTGGATGAAATCCTATGGTGTTACCATTCAAATGGTACTTTCACACTCTAACTTTTGGTATGAAATCTATTTATTTAAACCTCTTCAGTATGTGGTTTCTAACTTTTGAGTCTGTGGATGAAACCTCTTCAGCAGTACTTTCACACGGTACTACATATTTAGTATGTAGTTCTAACTTTTGAGTCTGTGGATGAAATCCTATGGTGTGACCATTCAAATGAAACCTCTTCAGTGGTAGCTTTCACAGTCTGTGGATGAAATCTATGTTTTTCAAATGTCTTCAGCAGTACTTTCACAGGGTAGTTCTCTAACTTTTGAGTCTGTGGATGAAATCCTATGGTGTTACCATTCAAATGAAACCTCTTTTTTCACAGGGTAGTGGATCAAATTTTGAGTCTGTGGATGAAATCCTATGGTGTTACCATTCAAATGCAAAAAGCTAGTTCAAATCCTCTGTATTCTCTCTATAATGGGGCCATATATTAAGTATGCAGTTCGATTTTTTCAACCTATGGTAATGGATAAAGCTTCAACCGAAACCTTTTCAACGGCATTATTTGTTTTTCACCAACTTGACGTTTGTCTAGATAGTGCCTTGGGAGTAAAACTCCAAGTATCAGGAAAGATAGAGAAACGCACTTTAAGTACCAGTTCTTACCCTGTGATTGATTGTGAAAATCCTGGACACAGAGATACCAACCGCGCGGTAAGACAGCACGTCCTGTGATAAACAAAAGTGAGATGTTATCTCTTGGATGACAAGCAAATTCACATAAAGAAGCTCGCCCCAAAATAGACGCCTACATAACAGGCTATGAAAGGAGCTGATCAGATCATTATACATTTCTGGGAAACTGCCCACCTACCCCTCCCCAAAGCCAACATTTTGCCTTTACTTTCCAATTAGGGCAAAATGTTGGCTTAGGGGAGGGGTAGGTGGGCAGTTTCCCAGAAACGTAAAATGATCCAAAGGAGCTGTGTCACGAAATTAATCAAAATTCAAACGATGGGAACCGTCACCAAAGTGAGTGAAACATAAAACTAACTGTTCAAAACCTGAAAAGAAGGTATAAATAACACGGCAAATAAAAACGGAGGCAGGGATGTTTAAATTTGCAAAAGATTGAAACGGATTGCAATTGCGGTTTTTGAAAACTCGTTAGCCCGACGGTTTTTCAAAATTCATTTTAGTTGTTTGCAAAGTTTGATATAATGCTTGGGAGACACGGTTCCTTATGATATCGTTTTGTCACGCAACGTTGAGAAGAGAGTTGCGTGACGACACTGGCGGAGAAGGGGACTACATCAGCTACATCGTGGAGACTTTGAGGTTGAAATCAAATGAACTTACGCTGCCTTTATTTCCAAATCCGGCATAAAAAGGATTTTTATTTGTCGGAAACAATCTCTGAATATCTCGCAAACAAGAAATCTTGAATTCTTGTGGCTTCTTTTCAATCACCTCTCTAGAAAACAGAAAGGAAAAAGGTGAATTTTCCATGTACTGCGAAACAACAGCAACAACAACAAATGATGTACGTTTACAATTTAAGAGTGTATACTGTGTGAAAACTATTGCAGAGATGGGCATAATGCGCTGGTTTCTGGTAACGAGACATTTAAAAAGGAGGTGGGGCCACATTCTCTCACGTTTCCATTTTATCTTTAACTATTTCCTCAGGATTGATTAAATCTTGAGGAAATAACCTGCGCGCAAACCCTCCAATTATGGAGAGCGAGGCGAGTTGAGAGGGAACGCGCGAGTGAGCGGCGAAGCCCCTCGAACTCGCGTGAATTCTCATGACTCTTCCAAATGGAGAGCTTGCCCGCAGGCTACTGAGGAAAAGAACGACCGACCACAGCACCGCCTACGTCCATACATACTTACCTGTGAAAAGCTTTAATAAGTGATTCAGGATTGAGTAGCAGTGGTCCATCAGGTAACATAATCTGATCCTGTTTCACACTCTTAAGGTAGTCTCGAGTCTGCTGAGCCTAAATACAACGAAAAATGAATCAGATGTTTTGCAGACCAAAAAAAGTCTGATTCTATCGGAGGAGAGTTAAGAAAAAATTTCCCCCATATTCAGTTGAAAGACTCTTCCTCTAACGTAACCCTCGCGCTCATTCGCGCTCGCGCACTTGCTGTTTGTCGCGCTATTTCCGGTCTGTGTTGAAAGAAACAGCGAGGCTGGTCCTTACCTGTCCAATAGCTCTGGCTGATAAATAAAGAACCTTGTACCCGTTCTGCTGGATCTTACAAAAGAAATGAGCCTGCAATGTACAAGGAAACGGAGTCAAAACATCCCACAATGAAACCTTTCAATAATTATCGTTAACATTTTTCCTCATTAGAATACGGCTTAACTCATAGAAGCCATGGCCGTATATACGAACTACAATAATTCAAAAATTGAAAGAGCTGATTAACTTGAGCAATTTGTGCAATTTTCAGCTCTTTGAAAGCAATATTGAAGGAAATATCAGCCATCGAAAACTGCGAAATAGCTGGGTGACAAAAAAGTTAATGAGAAGTACATTCTTTGTAAATTGGGAATTTTTAAAAGAGAATTTTTCCGAAACCATTCGGAATATCGGGCTTAAATTTTCAGAGATAACAGAAACTGTTGTGCTCTTTCAAAATTCAGAGGTTTTATCTTATTAGCTTCATGAGATACTGATGACCATATGAGGCAAAAAACGTAAACAAAGATTTCCCCATGGCAACTGAGCTTCGAATGTTGAGTACAAAATGGCGGCCACTTTGGTACTCACTATTTTTTAATTGACTACTGACTGCGGTTCCTAAGGAACGCGCTCTTGAAAATTTCCCTGGATAAGGGTACATTATCGTTTAACAATACAAATGAAACCTCTTCAGCAGCACTTTCACATGGTGTTATAACATTAAGTATGTAGTTCTAACTCTTGAGTCTGTGAATAAAATGCTATGGTGTGACCATTCAAATGAAGCCTCTTCAACAGTACGTTTCGTGGTACCATTTATTTAGTGCGCAGTTCTAACGTTTGAGTCTGTACATGAAATCCTATGGTGTGAACCTTCAAATGAAACCTCTTCAGTTCTTTCACTTGATATCCAGAGTTATAAAAAAACCTCCAAGTTCTCGTTTTGTTTTGTTTTGTTTTTCTGTCATTTTAAATGTTACTATGAGTTAAAGGGATAATGGAACAATAATAACAACAACAACAACAACAATGAAATAAAACACGTACTACTCCAGACTGTGCCCAAGCCTGTCCTACTACTGGTAAAATTTGACCCAAAACATCAGACCTGAAAAAAAAAATTGTGAAATATTTATTCCTAGTCCTTAAGTTATTTAAACATAGAACTGCTCTTCCAAAAGAACGATTTTTACAATGTCCCAGATTGTTTTAAAGGCATCACTTACTTAGTTATTGTACCATCAATGTCTGAGATAACAATCTTATCATTGTGGTTCCAGAGATAAATGGTCGCCATGCACATTGCGGTACCCTAAAAAAGCAACAAGGACGCGCTGTAGTAAAGGTTAAAATCCGAGACTCAAAATTACTGCTAAATGATATTAGAGTAACTTCAGTTTCATAGAGCTGGTCAATAGGCCATTTGCACGATGACGTCATTTTACTACTACGACCAGAATCCTTTTCGTGTTCCCTTTCATTAACAAAAGCCCTAATTTGCACAAGAAAGCAAAGTCCTGAAGGATCCTGGTCGCAGTAGTAAAATGACGTCATCATGCAAATGCCTATTAAATTAAAAAACACTAAAGGTAATTTAGCTGCGTGAACGATAGAGTGGCCACATGGAAACCAACAATCTGATAGAAGTTATATCTTGGCTTTTCCTAGAGGCATTAAAACGAAATTCCAAATTAATAAAAACATAATCAAGTGATGAAGCATTGTACCTGATATTTTGTTGTCACTGAGAAGGTTATGCTATTGGCTCCTTCTTTAAGGTTTAAACTTTTCTGAGAAGGGAAGAAAGACAAAATTATGATAATGTAAGGCGCTAATGGCACCAAAGCGGCTAAATCAACTGCCTTTTACAATAAAGCTACAATCGCCGGAAAAATCTTTAAGATACTGTCCTCAAATGGGGTAACTTCGGAAAACAAAACAATCCACACCCCTCCCCCATCCACTCTGTTCAAAGTTAGGGTGTTTGCTGTTTTCCGCAACTAGCTTGAACAGTGGTACAACATCGCATGGAGGGGGTGGGGTAGGGAAAGCGTTATTTTTCTCTTTTGAAGTCGGCAAAAAGCCACAAACCTAAATACAGGTCAACTTTGCAGAAAATATAAGGCAACTGAAAATTTTGGGAAGTTGTCCGGGTGACCGTAGTACACAGCGTGACCACTGTATACAGGGCCGTTATCTACAGGTTTGACTGTATTGAGTTTTTGTTTAGAGAAAGTTAATCCAAAATGACAGTCCAGAACAATCTATGAGAAAGTAAATGCAATCGTTTGTTTAAACTCTAACCCAAGGTGAACGCCAATCGGTCTTCTAGCAACTTCGCCCACAGAGTCTTAGCCCTTCCTAGGGGTTATTTGTATGATATCGGAATGACTTTCATTCCGAGATGGTTTCGTTCCGAAGTGAAGTTCGTACTGCATTCACGTGATAAAATCAAACGGCTCAGCTTCAAGCGTTCTCGCTAGCGTGGTTTCGCGCCAGATCACTGATACGCGAGTGCCACTCGCTCCAGACTAAAAGATATACGATTTTCAATCCGGAACGAAATTCGTTTTCAGTTTACACGATACCAGAATGAAATTTCGTACCAGAACGAGAATTTCATTCCAAATGAAAACCGGAGTGACCTCATTCCGGAATTACTTGTACGAGAAGGAAATGTCGTTTCGGCATCATGTAAACAAATACAGAAGAATAATTATGGAGATGGAATGAGCTCGTTCCAGAATGAAAGTCATTACGGTATCAAGTGAATAGCCCTTCTTACAATTTGATCTGATGACAGCCGAGTGACCTTCCTGTACTTTCCTTTGGGAAAGTCGGATTCATTGCCACTGACGCATTCTGATGTCGTTCTCTCTCTGCTTTCATTTTCATCTTGAATCTTCGACTCTTGAATGCTCAACTGTTTCCTAGCGGTACTGCTATGCAGTCTAGGGCGCGGCTTATCCTTTTTGATATCATCGTTCTCTTCGTCAGAACTCTGAAAATAAAAATTGGATGACGGATCATAAAACACATACACTGGGCTTAATTTCTACCTAAAGTTTTAGCACGAGACTTCTCGTTTCAAAGCTTTGGAGATGACTTTTGGGGATTTTTTAAAAAGTGATTATTGTTTGATCCTTCGACTCTCAATTGCAACTCAATTGCCAATAAATTTACTGTTTGCATGAATTCAGTTTTCATTTTCTGAGTGAACAGATAAAAAGATGTATCTTCCGATATAAATCCATGAAATCGCTAAAAATCAAGATAAATCGATGAACGAAACGAGTGTGTCATCGATTTCTACCGATTAATCGATACAATCGATATCAATCAATCAATAAACCAATCAATCAGATTTACCGATTTTTATCGATTTATCAATCGATACCGATTTTTATCGATTGACTACGCGGGTCTTCATCATTGTCATCGTGGTTATCGTCTTTACCATCATCATCAATCTCACAGTGGCAGTTATCACTGTTTCCTTGTGGAGAATAATTCTATGGGTAGGTAAACGATGTAATTACAATTACACGTACGGTAAGTTGCAAGTGAATCTCACCTTCTCTTCATTTGCCCTCCAAGAAAACCAGTAATACATATTTCTATAGCTCCTTCTCTTTTCCTAGAAAAATGCAGGGTGTGAAATACTTTTTACAATATACAGAACCAAAGTCGTAAAGAGCAAAGGGGACTTGTTGAAGTTTATACGTACCTTTTTTGGCATATGCTGTTTCACAAGGGTCTGACAAGCTTCCTGTTAATAAGAATCCAAATGTTATTGAAACAACAAACTAACACTATACCTGTACAAACGGCTGATGTTTGAAATTATTAAAAAAAAACAGATTTCACCTAAATCAGGATAACAAGCTAAATAAAAAATATTTTGTTTCTCCGCTCTGCTATAGAGTTTTTCTTTATTTTATTAAGTAGTGCAACGCTGGCATAGTGGTACAGAGAGACGGCAACAACCTCTTGTAATGTATCGCAGCAAGGAGATACACTAGTATATTACATTATTAAGCTGTTATATTAGTGTGAACACATATAAGTACCCGGAAGCCTTAAGCTTTATATCATGACAACACTTTTTCCACCACAATATGGAAAATACAACAATTACCGGTTTGAGAGGTCTCTGAAAAACTACATGAGACATCAACATTGGAGCAGCTATCTGCCAGTTATAATACCTGCAAAAAGCAAAAAAAGAACAGATTGAGAAAAGTTACATATAATAAGAAATGCAACAGCCGCTTAAGAGTATAACAGCTGATTTACAAACGCAAGTAACAGGAAGGAGAGAGAAAGTCCAAAGTTTTATGAAATGAATATGATGCCAAATTGAGTTTGCAGATAAGGGGGAAGAGGTGGTTACAATTTTATCTCCTTGTTGAATTTGTAGAGTGAATAGAACTTCCCAAAATCAGCCTCAGTGAATACAAACGATAGACACTTTAGCATACACCAGCTAAATTATCTGTACATGTAGCCATAAATATGACTAGGTTGCCTAACTCTACCCGACTCTCTGATGCAGCAGTTTTTGTGTGTGATGCATAATAAGACAAAAAATGGCTCAGTAGCGACTACAATGTACCTCTACCCTGGAGAAACAGTTAGGGTCAAGGGAAGAATGATGTTGAAATCACCACATCTGGAAAACCATCTTTGCTGTTTACATGACTAACCCGTGAATAATCGCAAACATGTTGGACTACCCAAACCAATAGGACGAAATGGCAGTGCAACCTTAAGGCCCCTAATGAAACAAAGACGTAAAGAGATAAACAGCCGTGGAGGTGATGGAATGGTCTGGGGTTGTGATAACTTTTTCAACAACAATATATACCTGTCATTTATTCTGATAACAAGCTTTGGGTCTGAGAGCAATGCTGGATTGTTAGACAAGTCATCATATGTCACCATAGACTGTATAAAACTTTCTGCAAGCACAAAAAAAAACCACATCCTTATGGTAAATAAATTAAAGATGAAGTTCTTGAAGACAGATAGTCTGCATAGCTGGCGGGATTAGCAAGTAAGTGCAGTTTGTTTTTCCCTGGCAGAGCTGCTGGAAGATTAGGAGCAAGATCCGTTTTGGCTTTGCCACACACACAAAAAAAAACCCATGTGGCCCTCTACCATCCAAAAAGTACCCTGTGCGTACTAACAGTCTTGCCAGTTACACAGACTAGAAAACAGAATGCCATACTTGACATAAATGCTAGTACTAATAAAAGCTTAATGACAATAGTTTCTCCAACATAAAGAAACATTTTCCAATGGAATCTCAAGGTTCATGAAAATTTACCATGTGAAAAATCACGTCTGGGCTTAACTTGTACAGTTCTGTATAGTAGAGTTGGTGTTTGAGGGTGAATCCTAAATATAAGCCCTTGGGGTTCACAAATGGAGGGGCTTGAAAATGGAAGGCTTTTTTGTACCAAACATTATTTTGGAAAGAGCGGCTTATTTTAGGTGTTTTATGGAATAGATGAACTTACCTAAGGGTACTTTGCCATTTTTGAGCTCCCCACATAAAGACATGGCAATGTCATGGTATTCACCAATACTGTCAGTAAAATAATAGCAAGTTTGAAAAGAAACATTAGACACCAATACATTTAAGGATTTTTTATGAACCATCTCTTTGTTTAAAGGAGGGGGGGGAGGGTCTTCTTCAAGTAGCCAAGATTTAAGAATTCGG